GGGGTGGGGAGGTGTTGTGTGCTCGATATTGAGATGGAGGTTAGTCTTCAGATCAGATCACATCTTGATTACGCTACAGCCGGCCCCCGAGGACCATGCAGGCGCAAGGCCACCGTCCTCTCTACCACTCTTACATATTTTCGAAGGAAGCTACTAACACCTGTTCTCCAGGGCGTCAAACAGGTAAAGCGTACCTCCCTGAACGCGCGCTTTCTCTTCCTCGCCCCGCCCTCCCTCGAAGAGCTGGAACGCCGACTGCGGAACCGAGGTACCGAGACGGAGGAGAGTATCCGGAAACGGGTGGCGCAGGCGGAGAAGGAATTGGAGTTTGCGAGGACGGAGGGGAGCCATGATAAGGTGGTTGTGAATGATGATTTGGATCGGGCGTATGCCGAGATGGAGGAGTGGATTATGGGTGGGGATGAGGCGTTGAGGAGGTGATGGGGATGGGGACGGCGATACTGATGCGAAATTCAGAGGGGCAAGGGGCGGGGGACAGAGAGGATAGAGATGATACAGATACATAAGACTCTTTTACACAGCTGTAAGACTAAGGGGATGGATAGAGCATGTATTACATGGCTGGGACGCAGATGTGCTTGTGAATATGATTAGTATGTACGGACTGAAACCAACCTCGCTCATTACCAATGTCCGCTTCTGGTAAAATCTCTGGCACATAGTCTGCAACCTAATGGTATAGACTGAGCCTGCTTGAAAACTAAGAGAGCTCAAGAAGGAAAAGAAACAGGTGTAGGACACAAGCGGCACGATTGCGTGCTCCCAGTCTGGAACCGATACTCCCTGGCTCAAGCCGACATCTCCATCCTACCATTCTCAATACCCGTTCATGGTCATCCGCTGTGAGTTCCTGCTCAGTTCTCGATCAGCAGCAGGGCTGATAGGTCTGCTACCGCTATGGCCTCCCGCAACGCTGCTCTCTTTAAGCGCAAGAAGTTGCTTGGCACGGAAGGTTTCGTAATGGATTTGGCTAGTGGTTTCGATAAGGTCTTGCAGGTGTGTGCGGGTCAAGAAGTTCCGTAGATAGACGAATTCGCAGTGATTCTCGTCTTCGACATTAATGACACCCCAACGATTCTGACGTCCTCGAACTTGCTTGCCACCCACGATGATTGTCTTCTCGCTTCCCACGACCGCGAAGGGAATAATGTCTTTGATCTGAGCATTGACGGCGCGCTCCTCATCATCGAACTCGTCGTTGTCATATGGGTACATCTTCAGATTGTGGAAAGCGAATTCCTCCTTTATGCGCTCCTTGAAAGCACGACGTTCCTCCAGTGTCAAGGAGTCTGACTTTGCGATGACTGGCACAACATTGACGACATCGGAGAGTTTCTTCAGAACGACGATGTCGATTGGTTTCAGAGCATGTCCCGAGGGTTGGATGAAGAAGAGACAGCAATGAATGCGGGTATCTTGGATATATCGTTCTCTCTGAGCTGTAAGTTCCTTTCGTAGGTACGCTGAATGCTGATCTTTGATGTACTTCACAATTGGGTCCCAGCTGTAAAGGTCAATACTGCTGAATGTTAAAGTAGATGCACACTAACCATCTATCGTTGTTGACCTGATCTCCATACCCTGGGGTGTCGACAATGTTCAATCGGAGGCGCACACCGTTCTCTTCGATGATATGAGACACAGTCTGAATTTCTGTGGTTGATCGGACAGGCTCGTCTGGTCGCATCCGTCCTTTTGAATCAATGAGATGGGAAGCGAAGATCGTGTTTATCAGTGTGGATTTTCCAAGACCAGTTTGGCCTAGGACCCATTCATTAGTCCATGCAAAACTGCATTAAATACAAACATGAGACATACCAACGCAAATCACATTGAATTGGAAACCTCTCTTCAACAGCTTGCGCTCGATCTGTTGTGTGATACTGTCGAAGCCAACATGACTACGTGGGAAAACGGCATTTTGCATTATGGACGTCATGCTGAAATGTAAGCTTGAACGGTACCAAGCAGCTGGTAACAGGATGATATGGCTTAACAACAGTATGTGGTGTACAGAAACCTCTTTGTTGTTGACAAGCAGCGAACCTCAGATGCGACAAACTTTCCCAAGAAATGCACCCCTTTTTCTGCGGCCATCACGCCCTCCCTAATTTGTTCTAGCGTCATGACTCCTGGTAGATGAATTATTGGAGCAGCGGAGAAAGCTTCACAGCTCCGCAGGCCAATCTTCATTCAATCTTCTTCGCGCCTGCAATTGGGGAAGACTGGACATCTTGCACCAAGGTGGTCACACATACAATGGCGACATCACGAGTTTTCACAGCATCCTCGATGCTCTCTCGGTTTGTTTCTCCTCGCTATACAGCCTTCCAAACCGCCTCTAGTCCTATGCTTCGATATATCTCCAACTCGCTACATCCTGTTGCGACCCTATCAATACCAGCAATATCGTTAAATGTTCCAGGTCTGTTAAAAGATATCTGGGAAGGAGTACTTCGAGCAGTGCCAAAGAAGAAAACTTCTCACATGAAAAGGCGGCATCGACAGCTAGCTGGCAAGGCATTAAAAGATGTCAAGAGCATAAATTCGTGTCCTGCTTGTGGTGAACCAAAGCTATTACACCACCTATGTCCAAACTGTGTCGCGGGTAATCTGAAATTATTCTTGGGATGGGCGGCCTAGCTAACGATGTGGATAGAGATACGTAAAGAATGGGGAGAAGCGGAACGACGGGCAGAAAGACAGACAGGAGAGCAAGCAGAGGAGCAGACAGAAAAGCAGGCAGAGGAGCAGGCAGAAAGACTGGTAGAAAGACAGGCACGAAAAGCAGGCACTTATTAGTAGAGCCAGACTCTACGGAGCACTGAATCTCAGAATTGGGTCTAGTCTTTGAAGCATAGCAAGGGCGTTATAAATGATTACAGGTATTTCAAGGATCTAAGAGTATTGCATGGAAGCTATGGACAAGAGCACATCATCGCATACCGAGGTGGAGTGTCAAGGATTGGGGAATATGCCCTTGTTCTGATCGAGTCGTTCCAGAAGCGTAGCATCCGTTCGTTATTCACAGAACATCTTGAGGACAATCTCCATTGGCCTTAGCTAATTTGGGGGGGAATACATTAATGCTACCCTTATGTACCCGGACATTTTCAGACAATGAGAAGTCAAGCATAGCATTTCCAAGAGCAACAATCTACACTCATCGTATTCAATATGGTACGAATAAACCATACTTGCTTCCCAGCTTCCCAGCTTCCATTTCTGACCTTACGTAGTCGAAGCAATATCTCACTACCCACATTATCGACAATGGTGAGTCGAACCCTCGTTAACCTTCCACACTACTTCACTAGGTATTGACCGCTCACATAGCTCACCCGATCGACATCTACACACTCGCCGTGACTCCCAGTCAAATCCTCTCCGCCTCCGGCTCCTCCAGCATCAAAATTCACTCGACCACAACTTCCGATTTCCCCATCGCGCAAGTCCTAAAAGATGTCCATCCACTCGGCTGTCACCACCTCGCTACAAGTCATGATGGTTCTAAAGCGATAAGTGTTGGATTTAGTGGGGAGGCGAAGGTGTGGAGGTACGGAGAAGGGATGTGGGTTGAGGACGGGGAACTGGGAGGACTGAGTGGAGACGACGGTGAAGGGGAGAAGAAAAAGAACGGGAAGAAGACGAAGCTGAAGGTGGGCGAAATGTGGGCAGTGGCTTTGAGTGAAGAGGGGAGATACGTTGCAGCGACAAGCTATGATGGGAGGATTGGTGTCTGGGATCTGCTCACCGAGCAGAGGAGGAAGATTCGGCAGTATGAGACTAAGGGTAGTTTTGGGCTGTGCGTCGACATGGTTCGTCCTTGTCTCAATATCTTGATGACGAAGATCTGGAGTTCTGCTGATGAAGTTTCACTCTTTAGTCCGCCGATGGAAGGTTTACTGCCTGTGGGCATGAAAGTGGGAATGTCTACATCTTCAGCAATGACACGGGCCGCTTGTTGCATTCGCTGCCTGGACTCGTCAAGCCCGTACGAGCAGTGGCTTTTTCACCAGGAGGGAAGCTTCTAGCTGCTGCAGGTGACGCGAGGCTAATCGGCCTCTACGATATCAACTCAGGCGAGCAAGTGGCCAATCTGACAGGACATGGATCGTGGATCACCTCGATTGACTGGAGTCATACAGGGGAGTACCTGCTCAGTGGATCTCTGGATGGCAAGGTCAAGGTCTGGACGGTCGACCAGAAGATGTGCGTCGCCACACACTCAGAGACGGATAAGGGGCTTTGGAGTGTCAAATGGCTTCCAAAGGTAGGGAGGAATGAAGGATTCGCAACGGCCGGCTCTAACTGCAGCATTGCGTTCTATCGCGAGGCGAGTGGAGGATGAAAAGGACCGGAGTGTGGTGGCTACATTGACTAAAAAGAAGTCTGCGCAGAGGAAGAGAGTCAAGAAACAACAGATGTTATCTCCCGGTTCCAGCTCAAATGCTCGAGCGTGCAGGATACCAGACATATGATCCCAGCTGTCGTCATTTGGTAGTGGCACAGTTCGAGGGACGTCTTGCGCAAGGTGAGTGCGGCCTTTTTGTAAATCAAAACCCTCAGCTGATTATCAACTACCAGGAATCCAGAGTATGCTAATTTGCTGTGATTGCGTTGCACAAAACTATGAGGCCGAGGGAGCAAAACACAAAACTCATTTAGGCAAAACTAGACCAATGAAGAAGAGTCTCAATCCACTGAGAAGGATCTCAGTTTGGCATATAAGTGCCTCAGCTTACTTTCGGCCCTCAAAGGAGCATTATCAGACAAGGTCGCTGCGCTGCCTTGGCCCAAAAATGGCTCATCACCAAGTCCTCTTAGATTTCGGCCTTTGGGTTGACCAGCTCTTTCCCTTGTTAGTGCATAGGACGATCGTATGTACTTATCTTCTTTCTTGCTTTCCGGGTCAAACTTTCCCATAAGATACCAAAATATCTTCGACCACAGGTGTGCTTCTTCTTCAGTAGGACATTACCGATGTCAGCCTTGTCTGCTGTCGGCCTCAAAATCCCTCAATTCTTTATGCGCTTTCCTGAAACCAACGCTACCATAAATATGCTTGTTGACAGCAGACACAGTGCATATGGTAAGTGCTTTCAAGGTAAGCAGGTGATAAGTTGCGCCGTGCCATCCGAAAAACTATGCTGGACTTGTTGGCAAGATATGAAAGCGAAGCCCCCATTTTCTCCTACTATTGGTAACAAGGCTATGGTTGAGACAAATTCTTCAGCACTGGAGAAATGTTTGTGATTTTGAACTGACCTGTCAGAAGAAAGCCTGTTTTATGTTACTGACTTAATGCCCCTTGTTGTCTGACTTTTAATCCACGGAGTGAGAAAGGGACTATATTCTCTGATGTGTATTACAGCTTATGGTAGGCTGGCTCTCACACCCTCTGCGGCCAATAGTGAATGAGACATCCAATTAAACAATGACTGTATTATTAGCTCCACTCACGGAAGGAGTTGATGGGAGAGCTAGGATGATTGGGCAGGCCCTCTGTTACTACTCAGTTCAGGCACAAAACATCAAACTGACAGAAGTAGTCATCACCTAATAATGACTAGAATCAGGACCAAATGCATGAAAAGCAAATCGAAGCAGTACTACGTAGTGAGGCAACAAGGTAAAGCGCTCGTTATACGGAGTATTGTTCCCTGGATCAAACCTGACCAACTAGTCAGATCGATTAGCCCGTTCATAACAGGGATTCAGGGAACACCCGAGGAGTGCATATTAAGCACTGTGAAACCTCCCTTGACTGGCTGATCAGAAAGAGGCTGTGCAAAGGCCAGATTCAATGGACAACCGCGGATACTTATTGAAAGGGGAGAGCATAAGCGACGTCAGCAAGAGTGTGGTCATTCGCACCGATGTATGTGGACGGCCTGCAAAGAGATTGTCAGCCAGTACATGATTTAACTGGATAGCCGTCAGAGATCTTCTTGATGAACACGTCGAGTACTCATCAATGCATCATAATGCTGTACGTAGTAGAGAAATGGCTTGGGGAAGGCACGTGGTGGCACTAGTAGGAAGGAGGAAGTGAAGCTTAGTTTGTAATGGGCCGGAATTAGTTACGTAGCACTGACCCCCGTGAACCAACTTTTATTAACATGATCTAATATCGCTTGTTTACGTTCTTCATGATCCTATGAAGCAAACTCCAGCATCGCATTCCAGCTTACCCTTGGTTCTGCTCCATCGTCTGCGGCCGGGTCACCAGAAGATTACTTCCAGGAGAGTTTCCGGCTGAAAATAAACAAACGAATAGGAGCAGAATGGGCTGTTGGGTATGATTACCTACACCTTGTCACTCTGTATGTAAGATGCGCCAGATCATCACCTCAACAAAGACCGTGCTTGTGCCCAACACATTCAAAACTTTTGTGTTAGTGATTATTTGCTAACGGCAGTGCTCCTGACCAGGCTGAGAGATTACTACATCCCGTTTGCAGCAATCACAACCCCTACACGGCATTTAAAAATTCCTACAACTACAACCTTATAAGCTATGGCTATCATAAAGGCATGGTAGGCAAGACCACAATACTTTGAGGTATTGGTGGTGGATCTCCATAATCTGGCACTGCTGCTTCTAGAGGCTCAGGAGCGACCTTCCGGCTCGCAAGCAGCAAGCCTTCAACGTCAACTACACAACAATGTCGAATAGTCCCGAGCACGGAGATCCGTCTGCTGATACTGATGCTCCGGCTGGGTCTGGAGCACCTACAATTAATGTGGATGGACCTGAACGACCAAGACCACTTCCCCGAATACAAACTGACGGTTTGAGCGAATTGCCATCCACCATCCCTGCCCATCCCCCGTCATCGGCTGAAGTCCAACGGGAGACCTCAGTGGATACTACCAATAGCCACCCGACATCCGCACACAATGTCTCATCTGCTACCCACAAACCAAACGACAGCCTCGGACAGAACTTTCTGGCAGTGCCAAATACACGGTCTCGAGGAAGCTCGATCGAGTCCAATGACAGCCGCTCTCCGTCCTCCTATGGCGGCGACACCTATATCTCTTCTGCAGGGACCGCGGCTGAAGATGGCAAAGAGAACCATAACAACAGCAAAATCATGAACGCTGCAGATGCCTTGAAACCCGACCCACATAACGAGGCAGAGTTTCACGTGGAGAATAACAAGTTCGCATTCACCCCAGGACAACTGAACAAGATGATCAACCCAAAGAGCCTTGAAGCTTTCTACGCTCTTGGAGGTCTCGCTGGACTTGAGAAGGGCCTGCGTACCAATCGGCAGAGCGGTCTGAGTGTGGACGAAGCTGACTTTGATGGTACTATCTCCTTCGACGAAGCTATCCGAGCTGGCTCCGCAGAAAAGGAACTCGGACCTGTCAAACGAACAAACACGTCCGGGGCAATGATCTCTCCTGCAGAGCTTACAAGTAATTCTTTTGCTGATCGCAAGCGCATCTTCAGTGATAATCGGTTACCTCAAAAGAAAGCCAAAACGATCTGGGAGCTGGCTTGGATCGCATATAATGACAAGGTGTTGATCCTGCTCTCTGTTGCTGCTGTGATTTCGCTAGCTCTCGGAATTTTTCAATCGGTCAGGCCTAGACCCGGTGAGACTGAAGCTAATGTGGAATGGGTGGAAGGTGTCGCTATTGTTGTTGCCATCTTGATTGTTGTTACAGTCGGTGCTGCCAATGACTGGCAAAAGGAGCGCCAATTCGTCAAGCTCAACAGAAAGAAGGAAGAGAGATTCGTTAAAGTGATTCGGTCGGGCAAATCCCAAGAAATCTCCGTCTACGACGTTCTGGTGGGAGACCTTATGCATCTTGAACCTGGAGATCTAATTCCTGTCGATGGAATCTACATCGAAGGGCACAATTTGAAGTGCGACGAATCCTCTGCAACCGGTGAATCAGACATCATTAAGAAAACGCCTGCAGACCAAGTTTTCCGAGCCATCGAAAACCACGAGCCCTTAGGCAAGATGGACCCTTTTATTCTGTCAGGTGGAAAGGTCACAGAGGGAGTTGGAACGTTTCTGGTGACGTCTGTTGGGATTTATTCAAGCTATGGCAAGACCATGATGTCTCTACAAGATGAAGGGCAGACCACCCCACTGCAGTCTAAACTGAATGTTCTGGCTGAGTACATCGCGAAGCTTGGTCTTGCTGCAGGTCTGCTGCTTTTCATTGTCTTGTTCATCAAGTTTCTGGCAGAGTTGAACTCGATCCAGGGAGGCGCTGATGCAAAAGGTCAGCAATTCCTCCAGATTTTTATCGTCGCTGTGACTGTTGTCGTGGTAGCTGTGCCCGAGGGCCTACCGCTGGCTGTCACCTTAGCACTTGCCTTTGCGACTACACGTATGTTGCGTGACAACAACCTCGTGCGCGTGCTTAGAGCATGTGAGACTATGGGCAATGCAACAACAGTGTGCTCTGATAAGACCGGTACCCTCACACAAAATAAGATGAGTGTGGTTGCTGGGACTGTCGGTACATCTTCACGGTTTAGCGACGCACAAACCGTCAGTGTGGCAGCAGGTGAAAAGGGCGACAAAGAAGCTGAAATGCCGGGCGATGCGCAGGGTGTTTCATCGTCCGAGTTGACATCCACGCTGTCGAAGGAAGTCAAGGAGTTGCTCAAAGACTCAATCGTGCTTAATTCGACAGCTTTCGAAGCTGAGGAAAATGGCCAGGTCATTTTCATTGGATCCAAAACCGAAACGGCTCTTCTCAATTTCGCAAACGAACGACTGGGCATAGGCTCTATTGCACAGGAACGATCAAATGCTGACGTTGCCCAAATGATACCATTTGACTCCGGTCGGAAGTGCATGGCTGTTGTTATCAAGATGGGCAATGGCAATTATAGGATGCTTGTCAAGGGCGCTTCAGAGATCCTCCTAGGCCGTTGTACGAGGATAATCCGAGACCCCACTCAGGGTGCCGCCGAGACTACGCTCACTTCTGAGAATATGGAAAGTCTCAACGCTATTATCAAGAACTATGCCTCGCGGTCGCTACGGACAATTGGTCTTCTGTATAGGGACTATGATCGTTGGCCACCGCTTGGTGCACCAACACAAAAAGACGACCCTCGATTGGCTGACTTCGATAAAATATTCAAAGACATGACCTTCCTGGGCATCGTGGGTATCCAGGATCCATTGCGTCCTGGTGTTACTGAAGCTGTACATAAGTGCCAAGGTGCTGGTGTCTTCGTTCGCATGGTAACAGGAGATAATCTGATGACCGCGAAGGCCATAGCCACGGAGTGTGGTATCTTTACTGCTGGCGGCATTGCCATGGAAGGCCCCATCTTCCGGAGGCTTACTTCGAAGCAAATGACGCAGATCATTCCAAGACTGCAAGTTCTAGCACGATCCAGTCCTGAAGATAAACGCATTCTGGTCAAACAATTGAGAAAGCTGGGAGAAACAGTAGCAGTAACCGGGGACGGTACCAATGATGCACCTGCACTCAAAGCAGCCGACGTTGGGTTTTCTATGGGTATTGCAGGCACAGAGGTTGCCAAAGAAGCCTCAGCCATCATCTTGATGGACGACAACTTCACTTCTATTGTGAAGGCTATTTCGTGGGGAAGAACTGTCAATGATGCCGTTAAGAAATTCCTCCAGGTAAGATTGGAAAGGCATGCGTGCTTCCAGGAATGCTGATCTTTGAGTAGTTTCAAATCACTGTCAACATTACAGCTGTAGTGCTCACTTTTGTCTCGGCTGTGGCTAGCGGTGATGAAAGCTCGGTTCTTACAGCTGTTCAACTTCTTTGGGTTAATCTGATCATGGACACCTTTGCTGCGCTGGCCCTAGCTACCGATCCGCCTACCCCAAGTCTGCTCAAACGGAAACCCGAGCCCAGGTCTGCTCCTTTGATCACTCTGACTATGTGGAAAATGATCATAGGACAATCCATCTACCAGCTCGTCGTGTGCTTGATCCTGAACTTCCGTGGTGCAGATATATTCGGCTACACTGACCCACATGAGCTGGAGCAATTACCGACTCTCATCTTTAACACGTTCGTTTGGATGCAGATTTTTAACCAATACAAGTAAGTCCATATCTTCCTCGGCAAGGTTTTAGGATGCCACTAAGTCTCTGTAGCGCTCGTCGACTGGACAATAAATTCAATATCTTCGAAGGCATAACCAAGAATTACTGGTTCATCGGCATTCAGTTTGTCATAGTTGGTGGTCAGGTAATGATCATCTTCGTTGGTGGCGCAGCATTTGCCGTAACTCGTCTGAATGGACCTCAATGGGGCTACTCCATAGTTCTCGGGCTGTTGGCCGTACCCGTCGCTATCATAATTCGGCTGATTCCTGATGAGCTCGTTCGAAAACTTCTCTCTTTCCTGCCGCGCCGACACTCTTCTACGCCATCTTTCATGTTCGAAGATGACGAGCAGGTTCAAGAGTGGAATCCAGCTCTGGAAGATATTAGAGAAGAATTGACATTCTTGAAGAAAGTACGTGGGGGTCGCATGTCAGAGCTGGCTTACAAGCTCCAACATCCACGACAAAGCTTCGTTCCCCGTTCGAGAAGCGGCTCTCGTTCTCGGTCTAATAACTCATTGCCACCGAGTCCTCAGGAGCCAGAGAAAGCAGTGCCACCCGCAGCTGTGTCCCCCCCAACACCAGAAAAGGGCAAGAGACGTGACCGATCTCGGTCTAATTCTCGCTTTGGCCCTGCTGCGGCCATGGCGGGAATCATCGCTGGTAGCGTTGCAGGTGGTTGGTCGCCTGTAGAACGAGGACAAGAGGAGACAGACTCGATCAAATTCTCCAAATCACAGATTCATGGTGGCCTGGGTGCCACGAACGGCATTGAGGTACATCCAGACACAAGGCCGGATGATCCAGTCATTGTTGAGAATCCAGAAAAGAGTCGAGTGCCACCGAGTCAGAATCCAGCTTTGACTCCCCGATTTGATCACGCAACGAACAACAACGATTCGACCAACAGTAAACGAGGACATCACCATTCTCACCATGCATCTTCGAACGCCTAGAGCAACGTCTCTGACCCAAGCAGGGACGAGATACGGAATGTTGATCCAATCTTCATTCAAGCATCGCCTACCTCTAGTGTTGATAGAGAAGTTTATTAGCGACACCAGGTCTATTAGATTGCTTGACAGGAGAACCATGCAGAACCAGAGACGGCCAATGTCAAGTCTCGCTGGCATCTGGCGTGCTGTGTGGGACTTGTGGAGGGTACTGGCTAGCCAATTTTGGGGCAGTGTGAAAGTGGAGAGACCACCGCTGTTGCATGCCGGGTCCCCTATGTAAGCTTGCGGTATCATAGAAGCAAAGGGATGGGCCCGGTTCGAAGGGCACTTTTCGGTTTGAGGCGGCGACACGTTTTGAGAGCAGATCCACGAAGGGGAGGGGAGATCAATACTGCTCGTGTTATCCAAAAAACAGGTGTCATCATTAATAGAGCTAGCCACCGAATGAGAAACATACAAAATTCTTCGTGTATTTGATCGTGATGAGTTGCCTACACCAGTCCATGTCCATAACCATACACCGGTCGACCTCCGAAGGTAGAATGGAGAAGCCCTTTTGCCTATTGTGGTACAGTGGAACCCACAACTCTGTAGAATTCTTGCCCCGCAGATGATTCAAATCATCCCTCTCTCCTTACAAATAGAGTGTGTTATGGAAAATTTATTATCACTTGATTGCTCTTGTTCTGGTACATACTAAGATAATACTTTTATTATGAGATGTTGAGTAGGAATCTTAAATAAGCTGAAATTCTGTTTTTATCATTTTTCAAGTAACCTCTGAAATTCAGGTGCTAAGGTCTAAATATAGCTTAGCTCTTAAACAAAAGAATCTTCAAAAAGGAACATATTTCACTAATTCATATTATCTATAATACGACAAGAAATTACAGGCAAGATCAGAATTAATCTATTAATGATTTGTATAATAAAAAAGTGTTGATTTGTTGTGTGATGGTCAAATGTTGTGAAATCAGAGGAAGAAAAATTTGGGTACCACTGTAACCTCGGCTCAGCCTTAGATTTTTGCCAATTTTAGCCCGAATGATATCAACGTCCGAGCCCCTTGCTTTACGAGGTACGACAGTGTTGGCTCTGACCAACGCGATCGAGGATTGCCATTGGGCAACTCCCCTTGCACGGGCTCGATGATTGCAAGTCGGATTCCAAGATGTTCCGTCAGGCGTTTGCTGGAAGGACATCAATCGTGTCACTGCCTTTCCTAACAGCACCACGAACATTGTTGAAGAACATTACGGATCCTCCTACTAGGAAGGCAGTTCTGCATGCCGCTGCTTGGAGCCGACATCCGGACTTCGGAATAACTCACTCTCAATCTTATTCTACAGGTGCGCATAATCACCGAAACCGATTTTGCAGTCTTCATCGGGACATACTGACAGGCACAGTGGTTGTACACAATCGTTCGCGCTACCGCGCTCGTCGACTTTTCAACTTCCTCGCCATCGGCACGGTATCTTTCGCACTCGGAGCATATCTCGCGATCGAATATTCACCTCCTCTTCTTACCCCGTGGATCATGGGGTCGTTACCGACGGATGAGGAGACTCTGTCCATTTACGAGGCTCCGGATGAGTATTCGCGGAGCATCGATGAACACATCAAGAACTGTTCGTTAGCTACGAAGCTGAGGGCAAATCCCGATTTCCAGGAATCAAGACCACATCTGAAGATTCCCGAAGCGGTCAGGTCACACAATCTTACTGCTGGAACTTTGGCTGGCCCTGGGATGATCGTCGTACCACCCTACATCTGGAATGAAAGAGAAGGCAAAGAATTGGTAGAGATATTCTACCTGGGGAATAATGTATCTGGGCACTCGGGAATCGTGCATGGAGGTTTGTTGGCGACCATGTTGGACGAGGGCCTTGCACGATGCTGCTTTCCAGTTCTACCAAATAAAGTCGGTGTAACAGCAAGCTTACAGATCAACTATAAGAAGCCTACAAAGGCCGATCAATATCTAGTCTTGAAAGCGACTACAACGAAAGTGGAAGGAAGGAAAGCTTTTGTTGAAGGTCACATCGAGACAATGCCAGAGGACGGTGAAGAACCCGAGATACTGGTTTCGGCAAATGCATTGTTCATTGAGCCTAAACATGCGACCGTAAGTAACAAGGGCTTTGATTTGTTCGAATCAACTGACCAGCTTTTTGCGCAGTTGCTCAAGCGTCTTTATAAAACGGCGTGATTCTTCATCTTGATGCGGGCACATGGTAAGGGCGTTTTTTGGGACAGTTCTGGGTCGCAGCAATGCGAAAATTTGGTGGCTGTGGAGGCGGCACGGAGGACACAAGAGATCAGAGAGATCAGCTAGACTTGGATATAGAACGCAAGCATTTCTGCTCTGCTGGATCGCCTTTAAAACATAGAGAGAAGTGAATCAAATCTTCGAACACTGGTCCAAGATTCAATCCTGCAAGACTCCTGGAACATCTTGGCGTGCCTCACTAGTACTATTACTAGTACTACTGTAGTAGCTCGGAGGTTGTAACGCCGACAGTACTATGTGAGAGCTTCCAGCTTTCAGTTGGGATGCTTCAGTGAATCAATCAGTACTCGAACCTGTTCACCGTGGTCGCCATCCTTCACATTCCTAATTACAGCACCCACTTATCCCCGGCAGGCCGGGCGAGATGTCGAAGAACACCAAATACCTATTCGTTTCCGTTCCTTCTTCAGTTACACCCTCAGGTCACAAAGATGACGCTCTGCAGGCTGTACAGACAGCCGCGAATGACTATGCTACTGTCTCTCCCTTCTCTATTCCTGAATTTAAGATTGGAACCCTGGATGCTCTGATCCAGCAATCTGAAGAGCTGGCAAAGCTATCTGGGATGTGCGAAGGCGTTGTCTCGAAGGTAGGAGATAGTCTGCGCAATATTCTTGAAGGAGATGAAGGGAAGATTGCTCAGCAGAAGACAGTGAATGATAGTATGTTTGCCTGAACCCAGATAGTGCCCAGAGATGGTTCTGACAAGCATGATCCGCAGAACCGCTCGACCAATACCTACGAACATTCTCATGGAACAAAGTCAAATATCGAGTAGACAAACCATTAGCTGAGCTCATTGACTCATTACAAAAGGTCTGCCAGAGACCAGCTCTTTCAATTGAACCTCAACTTACCTTGGTACCCAGGAAGCAAGCTCCATTGACAACGATGTCCGCGCCAAATACAACCAATACAACAACCTTAAAACAACCCTCCAGACCTTGACTCGTAAACAAACCGGCAACCTGGCCACCAAATCGCTTGTCTCCGTCGTTCCTCCGCAGCTCATCATCCAGGACTCTGAATACCTGGAAACCCATCTCATCGCCGTACCCAACTCATCCACCAAAGAATTCACCCGCGCATATGAAACGCTAAGTCCCATGATCGTCCCACGCTCCGCTACCTTCATCTCTCAGGATGAAGAGTTCAGTTTATATGCAGTAACTACCTTCAAGAAACATAGTCTGGAGTTTGTGCATAGATGCCGAGAGAGGAAATGGGTGCCACGGGACTTCAAGTACAAAGAGGGGGGGAAAGAGGAGGAAGAAAAGGAGGTGGATAGAGTGGCGGCAGAAGAAAGAAAGCTGTGGGGCGAGACACTACGGATGGCACGGACAGGCTGGAGTGAGACCGTTATGGCTTGGGTGCATGTGCTTGTCCTGAGGGTGTTCGTTGAGACTGTGTTGAGATATGGACTCCCACTCGACTTTGTCTGTGGCATGCTCACGGTATGCATCTTTTCATTCTTATACCCAAGATTGGTGCTGCGGCGCTAATGTTTTATGTTTCTACAGACAACGGGCAAGCAAGAAAAGAAAGCTCGCAGTGGCCTGGACGCTGCGTTCTCATATCTCGCAGGCAACGCCTTTGGAAGAGATAAGAAGGGCAGACTGACGAAGGACGACTCATCCATGAGCGCTGACATGCAAGCAGCGGGTCAAATGGGCGATGCAGGGGATTACTCGGCTTATGTTTGCTATGATTTGCAGGTAGAGTAGCGCGGGCTATACACAGCCCTCGGAGACATACACAGCATAATCATATGTGCGAGCGATGTATATATGCACTGGCAGCGTATTCAGCATCGTCATGAACAGCATCAGCGCGAGATATGATGCTCTCTGATGTATGTTCCCATCTCCGTCGCAGCGCTGAATCCTGCACTTTAACCTCTAAAGTCGTCATCCTCATTCTCCACCTCATCGATTCATCGAGTCATTCAACCCTCCACCAACCCCTCCTCCCTCCTCAACAACCCCCTCCCATCCAAATACGCTACAATCTGCTCCACCGCATCCTTCACCCCCGTCTCCTCACTCCGAATATGAATCTCCGGCCTCAACGGCTCCTCATACGGCGCACTGATACCCGTGAACTCCTTGATGATCCCCTCCCTCGCCTTCTTATACAGACCCTTGGGATCCCTCCTCTCAGCCTCCTCACCACTCACATCCACCCAAACCTCAATAAAAGGCACGCCGCCCTCTCCGCCTTCTCCATCCTCACCTTCGGCCGCGTCGGCGCCATGCCGCGCCTCTTGATGTAGTTTCCGCGCAAGATCCCTATCGGCGCGATACGGACTGATGAAGCTCGTGATGGCCACGCTACAGCTGTCGGCGAACAGCTTGGCGACCTCGGCGATCCTGCGGATGTTCTCGGTGCGGTCGGCGGGGGTGCACCCCAGGTCCTTGTTCAGGCCGAAGCGGATGTTGTCGCCGTCGAGGCGGTAGGCGTGCAGGTTGTAGGGCGGGCGGAGGAGGGCTTGTTCCAGCGCGACGGCGATGGTGGATTTGCCCGAGGCGGAGAGGCCCGTCAGCCAGATCGTGAGGCCGGTTTGCTTGCGGAGGGTGGAGCGGAGGGTCGGGGTTAGTGGCGTCGGGTGGTATGTTATGTTCCTGTTTTGGGGGAGGCTTGGGGTTAGTGTCTTTGGTTCTGAGAATGAAAGGGGGGGGGAACGGGAAGAATAGAAACCGTGTAAGCACAAGGGGAGCGTACCTACGTCGCCATCTTGCTGTTTGCTCGCGGCTGTCTGGCGATGTCTCTGCAGGACTTCGCGAGACACTGGTTATGCCCTGAGCAAAGGGATTGAAGAGCGGCAGACGAATGAGGCAGAGTGAATAAGGTCAATTGATACAGAATCAACTTGAATATTCAGCATGTACATCGTGAACAGAAATCGCAAACCAGAGAAGTAATTTTCCTATGATTGCTCACTCCAACCTCTAAATGACGTGCTTGTTGGTCTGTGCGTAGGGAGTCTGTTTTGTCCTTCTTTCCTCTCTTAACTCTGTAGACTCCAGAGATGCAGAGCTTGCAACATTAGATGACCAGACTCTGGTATTACCAATATTGCCCCCATGGTCGCCGACGCTGAGCCTCTGCATTTCCATCCTACATGCCCTCTGCAGCGGCCAGCACTGTACCCTTCCGGCTGCTTCGGAAGTGGTCTGGATGGCTTTGTGATGTGTCTCGGGCATGCTGCTTCAAGATGATCAAGAGGACATTTCGCTTACCAAACTCTGTGTACACCAACCTCGTGAAGCGTGTATCAGGCGATAGATCTCGGGCTCAGCAGCCATCTCACTAGCTCAGTAGGTATTGCCTCGATGCCTGGGCCCCTAGCCGGGTCCTCAAGTGACCTGTGAAAAGGTCTCAATGTTGCTAACACGGGACATGCTGTCTATATGTGATTTTGAACTTTGGCGGCTCGTAGAGGACACGGATCATAGTCGTGTCAACAGTGATTGCACGCAGCAGGAACAAGAGATGTCTCCATAGGACTATGGGGCCGTTTGCTTGCTCGAAGAGTCATTAACAAGTGAAGGCTTCCTGACTAATGAAACTCATGCCAGACGCTATCTCGCAATGGGCTGCTGAGAACAAGACACCCAAAAACTCGGAGCAGGAATCGTGGAAAGCTTGACAATGGATACAATAAGAGGGCATGTTCCTGAACAATTCTGCAGACATGTTATGGTTTCACCACTTTGGAGCTGGCTGCAAGCACTGGCCTTGGGCAAGTTCTGCAGCATGAGATCCACAAGGTGCTCTTATCCCAAACACTCGTGGACTACTTAAGGTTGAACTACATCCAAGAAGGAGAGTTGCATAGGACTGGAGTCAGAGCAGTTTGGCTGGGTACCGTGTGTTCTGCTCCTTCCACATTCACTTGCCTTGACTTCACTTGCTTGTGGAAACACGCACAACATGTATGTGAGGCGGCAGAAATGGCCTGTTGACTGCTGCTTTGCATGTTCACCATTTGAAATACATGAATAATATACCTTTCCAGCTCTCTTCATGATTCTTGTTGCACTGCCTTAGCATGTCATCTTTCTACAGCTTATCGCTCTGCCTCTGGCCACTTCACTTCATCGACACATGAGAACCAGTCTGCTGCAGAGCAATTATCTCCGACTGAGCGCATTCAGTCTCCCCCACAAACTTGCTCTCTGATACACTTCCGCTTTCTTGCCGAAGATTTTTCGCCTCGAAGTTGAGTTGATACGACCACAAGCGCAAAAGAACTTTCCTCATGGCTCGGCCGGGCCGGCAGTCTCGTGGTTGTGTATCGATCAAGTGCCCTAAGATATCGCAAGTTGTGGATGGTTTCATTAATTTGATTGTTGGCAGAGGTAGGCCGTCTTTCTGGTCTCATATCACTTGAGCTTCGCTAATACCTTAGATAGGGTTAGCTGATCAGCGGGATACGGCGCGCTATGAGAGGTCTCTGTTGGGTGCAGAAGCGCGTAACAAGCTTGTCAAAGAGGTTGTGTTCGAGTCTTATAAGGCAGCCAGTCCTTGTAAAGGTCAGTGGCTTTTTGTCCTCACTGTTGCCAGGCTAATCGAAGTTTTGTCACAGCTGGAGAGACCAAGCCACTCTTAGAGAGGACGGTATCTCTGGCAGGGACAATACCCCAGCAAGGTAGCATCAGACCTCCTCGTGTAAGAAGGCGAAGACTTGGAGCAGCAGGCGGAAAATATGTTACTCCGATGGGGCCTCCAGATATCAGCTGCGCCGACATTCCTGAAGAACAATTGTCTCGAACATACAGCCGCTCGTGTGTCTGGGATCCCAAAACAAATCCAGTTCCTCCCATGCAAGAAATGGAAGGATTCGGGAGGTTTCGAAGGTCAGTGCATGCTGATGCAAACTGGCAGCTCAACAAATATCGTGGAGACTTGCAAACACTTGGACCAGTGGCCGTTCAACGTCTAGGGGATTTCGAAATCGCGAAGTTGAAAGATGGGGTCATGAACAACATTCGAACATCAAGTTACACTTCATTGGCCTCCCGCTCAGATTCCGGAGAAAGTTCCACTTGCCCACGAATCTGCAGGGGCTTCAGCCCAGCCATGATTTCTTCTATCAGCAAAGCAAGCAAAGGTAGCAAAGGTCGCAGCCTTTCACCAAAGCGCAGTAGTTTTCGCACGACATCACCCAACCACAATGACGGTACAAACGAGCGAATACGACCGCAGTATAAGCGTACGTCCTTCTTACGATTTGAGGCAGGTTCCGCGCCGCTGGCAACGATCGACGAGGCTGCGGGTGTGCAGCAGAAGAAGAAAACGGTTCCTCTGATATTTGATGAAAAAGGAGCGGCAGATGCAGTAATTGATGATGAGGAGTACGAGACGTACGAGGAAAGTTTCGCCCTTGCAAAAGCCCCTACCAAGCCTATTGCCCAGAACGCAATTAAAGTCTCATCGAACTGGCACGAGAAGGCGGCTCAGATGCCGCAGGCTGTTTTGCCCACAAAGACCCGTGGTAGTCGTCTATATCGTACCTTCGATCATGCTCCAGAGAAGGCACGCGTCGTCCAGAAGAAGTCAACTAAGGTGGCCACACGAAGGCTGAGCTCTCGTGGTGGAAAAGCATTAGCGAACCGGGTTATCGCCAAAGACGACATCATTCAGGCAACCGATACCCAACTACCAGCTGGTGCGAAGGCGCCAGTGTTGCCAATCAACCCCACTTCACCATCTGCAGTTGTTTCCACCAAACCTTCATCTACATCGTCCGATGGGTCTGCAGATACGAACAAAGCTGACGCCACTCTGTACATTGCCACTCCAAAGGCCTCAACAGCTGTTTCAAATGGGAACAATGATGCCTTATGTCCCTCGAATCGAGCTAATCAGCCAGTCACCACTGGTGTACCACACTATCCTCGACTCTCGAGCATCCAAGGGAGACAGAGGTCCAATACCGCATTTCGAGTTCGTTCTGGCAACATTCCAACTATTTATCTTGAAGGAAATGCAAAGCACCTTCTCGACACCTGCGAGATTGATCGGAAACCCCTCCAGCCTATGCCTGTCTGACCAAGAATTCGAAGTGCATACCCGTGAGCTTGTTGTGCTTCCTTCTTGCTTGGACCTGGCGCATATGTTTTGCTGCTTGAGTGGTTCGATCCATGAATACATTAATACTATGATCCACTCTCGGCTGCTCGCGAAAATACTCGATGCTGCGCTGATCCGGCCTGGAAATGTGGTGCTGGTTGTGTTATTATCTCAGCCTCCTTTTCATAATTTGAATAGCATAGCGTTCCTGGCACGCCAGCACGGTTCTCAGAACAAAAGATTAGAGCTTGATATCGGGACATCTCTCCTACTAGTACCTTCCCGCGTTTGTGTGCTCTTGCAGCTTGGTGATTGTCTAAACGTCTTCAAGTGGGATTATTGCACACAGTCACAAGCAAACCCATCATGGCTTTCAAGCTTGCTGATGATTGGCAAGACATACGAGCAGAATCGCTTGCTATTATGCTAACAAACTGGGCAAAACAACCTTGAGCGGGTTATATTGGGTGATCCAACCAGCAACGGCGGTGTGATGGGTGAGGGCTACAGACTAGCAAGGACTTTAAGTACTGCATAGAATCTTCAGCGATGGTTAACGAGTTGAGGGTTGATGGTTGATGGTAGCCCTGAAGATGAAGGCGCCGCTAAGTGCTAAGTGCTAAGTGCTAAGTGGGGGCCGGAGGGCTTTCCATACTGATCGACCACCCCTATTTTTGCGAGTCTGGGCGTTGGCGCTCGGACCACTTCTTCGAGAACAATAGGTAGTAGTTAGGCTTTGCTCAATGGCGGCCTCAATAAGCTGCATCTGCCACCAGCACAGCAGCAGACGTGTGGCCCAACCAGATAATGCGAGGAGCCTGTTGTCCTTGGAACCATCAGGCCATACTTGAGTAACCTTGATGATCTGACTGGCCATGCTGTTACCCGTGATAGGTCTGCAGAGTCTAGTCCGCTGACTCCGACCCCAGCCCAACTACAACAATAGTCCTATTGAAATGTTCGGCTTCTAGCCTTCCTATTGATGCAGTTCGCATTCATTCACGGCTTCTTCTGCCTGCGTGAATGCGTTCTGGCGATTGCTATTCATTTTCATCTTCTCTATTCATTCATGCACTTACATCCATATTGTGGCACTATATTAATATCCTGCTCCTCTGTTCCCTCATTGACTTTCTCCGACTCTACCATCCATCACTTCACCAATATCGCCCTACCTGTTGCACCCGTGCCTACTGAGTTCTGCAATTCATCTAGCTTGCGTCCTTTTCTCTTTGACCATTTCATTGACCTTGATCAACCTCTGTTGTTGTTGCAAACGATGCAACCACCAACCAATACTCTGCAGCATCAGATTCTAAGATTGGAAGCACTCCTGTCGTCCAATCAAGAATCACAGACTACACCACCAGCGTATTCCGCCACTAATCCCATGGCGCCAGTCCTCTACGAAGACCATTCGGCAGATGAAGAGGATTACGGCTACCCTGCATCTCGACCAGGACCCATCACAATTAACATTGACGCTTCACTGAGGATCGAAGGCCAGGCAAACACCATTGTGCTCCCACCCGCCTCGTCGCCAGTATCATCACCTTCCTCATCTACCAAACCCCCGCCGGCAGCAATGTCCTCGCAGCCATCCTGCCAGCACGGACGTGTAGAGAAAGTCACCAGCATGGTTCTCACCGCCCTCAAAGAAGCCAAGATCTTCAGGAGTACGCAAGGCATGGACGGTCAGACGACGACGACGACGAGGCCGGTAGATATCAGCGTCAATGCGGGCATCGTCGTGAAAGGAAGCAAGAATACAATCTGTTCGGGGTTGCCGAAGCTGATGAAGGGGAACGGTGCTCCGGCAGCTGCAAGAGACAAGGCAAACTTGAAGATGGGAGAGGACGGTGTGGCAGCCGAGACGCGGAAGCGCAGAGCTTGTTCTGTATGTGGTATCCCAGTTGATGGTTTGTAAAGCCATGACCGGATGTGAGCTGATATCTTTACAGGAGCCTCCTGAGACGTCGACGCCGAAGAAATCGCGCCTGCCTTGAAGTCTGCAACTACGACGGCACAGCCGGGACGGGCACAACTGTCGTATCTTTGATCGAAAAAGATCTCTACCTTGCGACAATCGTGACGGACAGCATAGCCAGGCTTTATGTACTTGACATCTTGAGCCGAGTCGAGCAGATTTGGATCGAGGACCCTGATCTCACGGAGCAAGCGAGAGAATTTCGAGAATAACATTTTGCCATGACCATTTCATTTTATCTTAGCCGAGCTTATGTACTTTCAATGGGAAAGGTCATTCATCACCGTCGAACTGAGCATCATCTCATCCGCGCGAAACTGTAGAGGAGCAAGCTAGCCCAAGAGAAAAGAAGAAAGTAAAGAAGAAGAAGAAAAAAAAAACCCCCTGCCCTCACTGCCGTAGCGTTGGTGCATAATTTGCCCATTTCCTCGACTGGAAGACGAGCGGGAATAGAATAGAATAGAACCGTCAATCGCTTTCTTTCAGCTCTGTGCACAAGCCCCCACCCTCCGGTACAGTACAGTAAACGTGAGTTTTGAGGCAAAACTCCTCTCCGGCCGCCAACTTACGGTTCCAATGTCTGACAGAAGATCTCCAGGTGATGCGTTTACAAGTAAATAATGGTTCGCGGGGACTCCGCTGGAATTCTCTGAGTTATCTAATATTTATCTACCCAATTCGAGCGATACTTATTATAGCCGGGGGTTCGCACCAACATGGTTTCTAGTGAACATGTACTACGTAAACATCTGTTGAGGCCCGTCCTGCAGCTTCCGCGCCTTTTCACACGCAATGATCCAGCAAGCGACGCTGTCTTTTCCACGCTTCCACCGTTGACAACCCCCAGGCGCCCCCTTCCTTACTCACCTATTCTGCGTGCCGTTGTAACTTAGAAGATATGAAAAAAAAAGGTAGTCCGGATCCAAGCCGAAAAAGGCCTTTCCTTCATTCAAAAATGAAAGGGGGCTGCTGAGTTTTTGCTCGCTCGCTATACCGTCCGGATCTGTACTGCTGCTGCGCTTCTTTCATCTTCAATCTCAGTCTCAGTAAATACTTACTTATGCCCCCTTGCTTGACACCACGCGCCCGTCCGTTTCTCATGTTTACTTATGCCCGTTGTTCATCATCGTGGCGAAGGATGCCGCATTGCCATTGCCAAGGGCAAAGGCAAAAGCAAAGGCAAAAGCAAAAACCTCACTATGCAATGCAATGCAATGCCGTCGTGGGTGGGACCAGCGCGTGACGTGACATGACATGACATGATAACACAATACACGGCTGAATGGGGGCCCGGAACCGGAAAGGGGGAAACCACCGCCGCGTCGTTTTTGGGGCCCGGGGGGACGGCGTAGGTAGATGATGAGATGTAGCGAGAAGGGGGAAAAGAATGATTGTGCTTGGAGATGTTGTTTCTTTGAAGCAATTACTCTCTTACAGCTGCGGCACGACTGCAGCCGGTTCTGTGATCCCATATGGATGGATAGTCTAATATAATCTGATCATACTATGCTCCAACTCCAACCAAATAAGCAAAATAAGACTGCTAGATAAGGCCATCAGTGCCACATGCTGCAGTCGTATCGCAAATGCATGCACACATCGCTCCAACCCACTGCGGTTCTAGCTTTCAATATGTCCACCTCGCCTGTGTATAGTCTTGTAAGAAGCTAGGGCGCGTAAAATCGCCGTCCATATTTGAAGATAGATGATGAACCAGATAAACTCACAGGAAATGGAGAGCTGATGCTGGACAAACATCCAAACAAGGCTTCCAGGTGTTACTATGACAAGATGCTCGATAATGGACCAGCATGTAGTCGGAGGGACGAGTCTCCCAGAAGTCAAGGACCGACAAGTCGTGAAAAAAATGACAGAGACACGAAGAGAACGAATAAGGGCCCATGATACCCTAGCATCAGGGCCGTGCTGCTCTCGTACCTGTAAGGGTGCCGGGAAGAGCATTGAAGCACGTCGGACTGGCGAATCGTTCGATGCGCTTGATGATCATTGACGGAACGAGGCGTCGAAGCCCATCAATCCGGAGCACGATGTCCTTTGACGCTGCTTTCAGTATGCGCTACCCATTTGGACGACGACTCACGGAGAGTAAGGTGGGTTAGGAATTCATGCACGGTTTGCGTTCTGCGATATTTGTTATTGCATTTCCGAAACCGCCAACTCATGAGGACGGAATGGCAGCCGAGAATGAACCAGTCGTCGGTCAAATCGAACTATTGCTGGTTCTCTCGTTGGCCGGTCAGACAAGAGTGACAGGTCCAATGTGCTTTGCAAGATCCCAGCGACTATCGAGCATCTCTCCATGCATGAAGCGGTGGAGATATGCCTCTCCTACAAGTAAGAAATCCTCGGTACCAGGCTTTCGCCTGAGGATTAGTGGCGTCCTTGAATCGCCGATGAGCCAGACTTGATCACCAGCTTGAACAGAGCGTAATCCCATGCCGACCAGATCGTTCTTGGTCTTGAAAAGCTTCCTGCCAAATACCTTACCTTCTATAGAACGAAGATAAGGGAGCATTCGTTTTTTGTGGTATAACGCAAATGCCTCAGCATCCCCCTGTATCTCTTCTGGCACCTCTACCTGAGAATCAGGATAGAGCTGGGCGAAGAATTGTCTTGCAGACTCATTTGCAAAACTGACTTCCATACCCTGTCCCACGGCGTCAGCAACCCAGCGTCCGATCATATGGATGATCCAAGCCTGGAATCCCCTAGCAAATGATAAAGGTGGGGGGTGGTAGATGCTTTCCGATGTTTCTTCGCTGTCCATCATCATTGCTCGCCATAATACCTCTGTACGGGTTTGGTCGTCGAAATATCTGTCCGGTAGCTGGGCTACAAATTGCATGAACTCTTCGAAATGACATACATCATTAATGACTTGAGTTGGTGTGGCTGGCGAGATGATACTCAGCTCGTCAAACTTTGCGCCAAGGAGGGTCAGCCTTGTCCCTTCCACCTTCCTTGGGAATGGAGGCGATTCTGAAGTAAGAGAAGCATCGAAATGGGTGGCTCTGTTCTTGCCAAGGTCTAGGATTGGATTCGTAGGACGATTGGTGCTATAGTCAACCACCCACGACGGAAGATTTGTGAACTGCTTGTCTGAGATGTCTCCGACATGGCCAAGGAGGCTGAGATACCGACTGTTGAGTAGGAGTGATGTCGTCAAAGAGGTGTATACATCTTCAACCCGTTGACCATAGTCAGGTATGATAAGCTCGTCAATGCTGGAAGAAAATAGTTTGGCTAAACCTATGACGGAGTAAATCTTATCATGTTGTTCAGTGCTCTGCATGTGTCGAATGAGAGACAAAAGATACGCCAACCAGGCAGCAGCCTCTTCCAGCTCCGTATTTGCGCCATACCTAGAGTTCAACAGTCTATACATTTCATGCATTTCGGCTGTGGGCGACGGCGTGCAGCCAGCTGAGTGACGAGGGATAAGATCCCGCAGCGCATTTATGTTCTCCAAGAATGCTCTGGCGGAAGAGTAGCCTTTGGTCAGCTCTGGCTCTGCGGAAATTAGTTCGCTGTCACATGAGACCCTGGCGAGGACAATTGACAGATTGGTCAGATCCGTCCAGGAGAAATGTCGATTCCCCACGAGAATACAAACTGCGGGTGCGAGGGCGACTTCTTGGGCAACCCATGCCCTATCGAACCATAGACGTGTTGCCAGAAACGTTTGGATGCCGGTGATTCTTTGGCTCAGATCTCCTACACTGAAGATGTTCTTCAGCTCTAGATCTGTAAGCGGCCAGGTGCCCCAGAAAGCAGGGCCACGTTGGAGCATTTTGGGAATCATAACCTCGATCCCCCATTTCATGTCTTCAATTCCAGATTCATCCTTGCCCAACCAAGCCACAGTTTCGACAGCACAAGTATAGATCTGGCCCATCATGGAGACCTGGTGTGCACGCTCCTCGGCCTCAAGCTGGTTTATGCAAATAGCATCAACCCAGAGCCAGTCAGAATATCCTGACTGCCGAATTTGCCACAGAGCATCTCGCAAGTTTCGCGTGATAAAGAATGGTTGGTCGTTGCATATGATCTGCTGGTCTTGGTACTTCTCAGATAAAGCTTGATCTTTAAGACGAGCTGATCTAGTGGCAGGTCCCCAGGTATAGGAAAGCGTTCGATAACGAGGACTGTCCGCCAGATCAACTGACTGTAAAGTGCACGATATTATCATTGTCTGATCGTAAACCTCATCAATTCTAAGCAGGCGGATCGAGGTAGAAGTTCGAAGTTTATTTCCTGGGTAGTCTTTTTTCTGCTCCTCAGGACGAAGCTCCAGTGACACCAATGGTGAGGCAGATCTTGACGAGGGGAACTTGCAGACAGTCTCATCAATACTGTCACTAGGCCAAGGGCTGATCAACGGGAATGCAATTCCTGGTGATGGAACGCCGCAGATTGATCCATCACTGCTAATACTATGCTTTGAGCTGATTGATGGCGACACGACTTTCACCAGGGAACTGCTACAAAGGGTCTCATCGTTGCTTTCACTGGGCCGGGGGCTGTGGGATCGTGACGAAGATTCTTCTAAGGGTTCGTTGCGAGGTGAGCCGTTATTGCTGGAAATGTGCCTTGGGCTGCTCGGCGGCGACAAAGAAGCTGATGAGGATATGGCGCAACCTATCTCTTCAGTGCCATCACAGGGCTTCGGGCTGGCTAAAAGCAATACCGGTTTTGATAATGGTCTCTCCTCTTCACTGTGATTGGGGATGTCACCAATGGACAGTTGGAGAGGTCTCGCCGAGAAGTTGCCCTCTGCGCTGTTGTTGGATATCGGGCTGGCTGAGGGTGAGAGAGTTCTCGGAGAAGACTTCCCTTCTGTGTCATCATTAAGATTTAAGCTTAGCGAGGGAGAGGCATAGCTTGGATAGGATATCTTCTCCATGCTATCACTGGGTTTCGCGCTCATTGAGGGTGAGAAAGATCTTTGGGGAGTTCTCTCCTCTCCGCTGTCATTGGATTCCGTGCTTCCTGGCGGTAAGGGAAATTGTGGTGAGATTGCGTCCGCTTTGCTGTCGTTGTTTTCTGGACCCCTCGGTGATGACAGTATATCCGGATTACTATCATTGAATCTTGAGCTGGTCGGCGGTGAAGGAGATCTCGATAGAGATTTCTCCTCCCTGCTCTCGTTGAATTCCGGCCTTGTCGAAGGGGAGAGCGATCTTGTTGAAGGAGTGCTACAGCTTCTCCCACTATTGCTGTCACCTGACCTGTCCCGTGGCGTCCCATGGAGGAGGAGATCTACAGGCTCAGGCCATGACTGCCTGAATCCAGGACTTCTAGCATTGCGTTTTAGCATCGTTGGTGGGGTTTGGCAGACAAGCATCAGGCAGGCTGTGTGCAACAACGAACCGATAAGGTGTACATGGAGGAGAAGGACCTGGTACAAGCATTTCCAAACCCTTACGACGGACAACAGAAGCGATTGGCGAGACTGACGTCAAGCTCGGTAGTGACTTCGTGCAACACTCAAGAGTCTGGAGCAGCCATGCTCAAGAGAACTGAATTCGGACTATCCTGGGTCGATGGGTCTGGGATAGCTCAATTCCCGAATGGGAAAACAGTAAAACTGGGTTGTCTGGAGTTGCGTTTCCATTGTTTTCGAAACCGATAACGGACCTGAAATGTAGGTGTAATAGACAAGTCAAAGGGTGGTGTGCCACATCGCATAAGATTTCGGAGGATTATATAATGGCCACCACGTGATGCATGGGTCAATTTTGGGAGCCCAGAGCAGCTGGCCCTGTGAGCACTATGCGGCCTGGTTATCAGGGGACATGCCGGGCATGCCGTCAAGAATCTCTAGAAACAGGCGTTCTCTCGGACAGGGGCTGGATCGGGAAGTAGGTGATAATTGTCCAGCAAAGCAAATAGCGCAATATTGATGCGCATCTAGGTCTACCAAGTAACCCGGAAAATTGCAGACGAACGAACGCAGTATGGCGATACCAGCTTTCGATTGTCCTTCGCGCTCGTCTACGATGAAATCAGGCGGTCCAACTCGAGTCTTAACAGAAAGAACAAGAAGTTGTTGGAGGACAGCATTGAGCGCGTGATCGAGACGATCGAGCAGGAAAATGCAGGAGATTCAGCATGCGAGTCGGCCGATGAGCATTTTGGTGGCCGGGAAAGCGAAGGAGCAGTATTCACCAAACCTCCATCCAACGGCCTAAACAGAAGCATAGTTGGCATGTGGTCTGTTGCGTCACCTAAAGGTTCATCTACGCCTAAGCTGGACGGAGATGCGTCACTCAATGGAGCAGCTATACCTACCACCAACGAGACGGCTGCCTCGAACAAGCGACGTCAAGCTAATGGCGAGCCTCTAAGCAAGAGAAGAAAAGCAGCGCCTGCTGCAATCGATAAGTCTCCGCCAAGTCATATAAGCCTGGCGGATGTTGGAGGTGTGGACAACGTTATCCAGCAATTCGAAGATCTGCTTGTGCTACCTATGACTCGCCCTGAGATCTACGCTGCGTCGAAAGTCCAGCCTCCACGTGGCGTGCTCATTCACGGGCCTCCTGGCTGTGGCAAGACCATGATTGCCAATGCTTTCGCTGCCGAGCTGGGCGTGAACTTCATCTCTATCTCAGCCCCTTCCATCGTTTCAGGCATGTCGGGGGAATCTGAAAAGGCTCTTCGCGACCATTTCGACGAAGCTAGGAAATGTGCTCCCTGTCTTGTCTTCATCGACGAGATTGATGCTATCACCCCCAAGAGGGAAAGTGCACAGCGAGAAATGGAAAAGAGGATAGTGGCGCAGTTGTTGACCTGCATGGACGATCTGGCCCTTGAGAAGACTGATGGCAAGCCTATTGTCGTTCTTGCTGCGACCAACCGACCAGACAGCCTCGATGCCGCTCTAAGAAGAGGTGGAAGATTCGACAAGGAAATCAATATGACTGTGCCAAGCGAGCCGGTAAGGGGCCAGATACTGCGCGCCTTGACCCGAGAAACCAACCTTGCGGCCGATGTAGATTTTGATCTTCTCGCAAAACGTACTCCCGGGTTCGTGGGTGCAGACCTCAACGATCTGGTTTCGACTGCGGGAGCTGCTGCAATCAAGCGTTATCTGGCTGTGCTGAAATCACACTCGGAGACTGCCACCATCGACGTCGACATGGATAGTACTGTATCCAAAGAGAAGATACATCCGCCATGCGCAGAGCCCAGTCCTGTTTCTTCTGTTGTAACCTCGTTACGGAAATTGATAAAATACACAAAAGAGACCTCGTCCTCGTCCGGTACTGAACCAAATGCCATTGAGATCTCTCAGAAAGACTTTCTCACCTCACTTCCTCTGGTTCAACCCTCTGCGCTGCGAGAAGGGTTCGCCACCATACCCACGACGACATTCGCCGACATAGGAGCACTTCGTCAGCACCGCACGGAGCTACTTTCCACCATCATCCAGCCCATTCTTGATCCTGGTCTATACTCCCGTGTTGGCATTACCGCTCCGTCAGGTATGCTCTTGTGGGGTCCGCCCGGCTGTGGGAAGACACTCCTCGCCAAAGCGGTGGCGAACGAGAGCAAAGCCAATTTTATATCTGTCAAAGGCCCTGAACTGCTCAATAAATACGTAGGCGAATCTGAACGTGCTGTGCGCCAGGTCTTTGTGCGTGCGAGAAGTTCTGTTCCGGTGGTGATCTTTTTTGACGAGCTAGATGCATTGGTGCCGAGACGTGATGGCGCGATGTCAGAGGCGTCGGCCAGGGTGGTCAATACCTTGCTGACAGAACTCGATGGAGTCGGGGGGGCAAGAGAGGGTATCTACATCATTGCCGCGACCAATCGACCCGATATCATCGATCCTGCCATGCTTCGGCCAGGTAGATTGGAAACTTTGCTGTTTGTCGGACTACCAAGCGCCGAAGAGCGAGTGGAGATCATGAGGACACTGGTTCACAAGTCCTTGAAGAACGTCGAGTTTACCCGACAGATGGCAGAAGTGGCGGAGGCGTGTGATGGCTTCAGCGGAGCAGATCTGGAGGCTCTGTTGCGGAGAGCCGGTTACGCGGCGATACGGAAGGGGACCGTGGCGCGAGGTATCGATGGTGAGGATCTTCAGCGAGCCAGAGATGAAGTACGGAGGAGCGTCAGCGACAAAGACTTGGTCAGATACGAGAAGCTGAAGGTTGAGTGGGGCACGGGCATTGGAGGAGCTGCATAGCTATGTAGAGCAAACAGATACTGCATTACTCTAATGAGTCTCGATCTGACCCCCCCCTTATACTACAAGTCATTATACTTCTAGAGCCACGATCCTGTCGAACACAGAGATATTTATTTTCCTTACCCGAATCTTCATCTCCCTGTACCCGAGCACACAGTCCACTCCTCACCTGCCCCATTGACCAGTTACTTACCAGCAAAAAAAGAACAGCCATCGGGCCCGGCCTCGTCTTCTTCAATCTTGCCAATCCCCCATCATCTCCCCATCCTTCCGAACCACGTAACCACGTAACCACATCTCCCATCTCCCCAACTCCCCCTTCATATAGCAATCCCCATCTGAAATCCCCCCAAAACTCCACGCTCAACACCTCCTTATCTCCTTAATCCTCCTCCCTCAAGAACCGGCTCCATGTCTACCCAGCAACCCCACTCCCATTCCCACTCCCACTCCCACGGCGGCGACGACGGAGACCACTCGCACTCGCACTCACACGATCTCCCGCCCGCCGTGCAGTCGAGTCTGTACTCGCAGATCGACTTCGACGGGATCGTGACGCTGAACGAGCGCGAGCCCGGGTCGGGACCAGACATGTATCCTTCCGCCAAAG